GTGGCCGGTCTCTTCTGCTCAAATCGTCGTGCTGCGAGGTCAATACAAGGCAGCGAATCTTTCTTTACGATCGTCGTTGATCATGGTGCGGGAGTAGGGAGTTTTACGGATGGCAGGTTTCCGTGCGGTTCCTCAAGAACCGGTACAATCTTGGTCGTTGGTGCCAAGCTCATAGAAGCGAGGCCACCAGAGAAGGCGCGGGAGTGGTCGGGGAAACAGACCTTTTCTTTTTCTTCTGTGCGCCCTTCTTTTCTTCTTTCTGGAAGAGGGGCGTTTTGCCGTTCTTCTTCCAGTCGGAGTCTATCTCCTTTTCCTTCTTTCAGGAATCTACGGTGCTCTTAAGAGTCACCGTGCCATTCGCCCAGTTGATGGCGGGGTTGTGGCTGATAAGCCAAGGTTGTCCAAGCATGAGCTTCTCTTTCGGAGTAAGCTCTGCGAGGTAGAACCGTTCGGTACATACCCGTTCATCTATCTGGAAGGAGAGGGTGCAATACCTCTTAATCGGCTTCTTTCCGAAGCTGGATCCATCAGTGTTAGAGAGCGTGAAAGGCTTCTCTAGCTGGTGCGACGAGATTCTGTGCTGTGCGCAAAAGTCCTTATTTACGAAGGACTGGCACGCCCCTGAGTCGACGACCATGGATGTCGCGATGGGGGTGTTTCTCGTTCTGGTCATCAGGGTGGCATTCACCCATAGTTCATTCTTCTTAACTCCGGTCTCTTTGATAGAGTTCAACCGGAGGTCTTCTTCGATCATCTTTCTCCGCAGGGTTCTGGGCCATTGTGGGCAGCCCGCGGCTTTGTGGCCAATGACGTGGCATACAAAGCATCTTTTCTCGTTCAGGTAGATACAAGTTTCTTTTCCCGTAAGGTGGGAAGCAGCCAGGGTGTTTCGGGAAGTTGCCATATTGGAGATGGTTATCTTCGATCTTCGTAGTGTTCCGAGCAGGAAGTCTTCTACTGTGACAGCGGTTCTTATATTCTTGCGACTGGTCAGGCCGGTATGTTTTGGGGTTCTTCTACAGATCTTCAGTAGCTTTGAAGATAGGTACGATCAGGGATCTGGCGTCACAGATGGGTGACATGCGAGTTGAACTTTAATCTTTTGTTACGACAAACGGTCGTGTGCGACTAGGATAATCTAACAGCGACAACCACGACAGTGGTACCGAGTGCTGAGAGTCGTCGGCCTTTACAGACAAGCAAAGGTTGCGTACTCGAACGTAGCTCGTGGTGGTTAACGAGGGGTTACGCTGAGATGATAGCGGGTTTACAGACAGTAAGAGGCGTCACTGAAGGTACGAGTCGATGTCGAGCAGGTAGCTTTAGCGGGACAAGGAGTTCAAGGGTAAACCTAGTAAGATTAAAGTAAGGAACGTCTACTTGTAATCTTCGACCTTATATAAGGCTACTCTTCATATCTAAGCTCAGCCTAAAGCTGGGTTCTAATCTGCTTATCTACACAAGTCAGAGATAGCGTCCATGAGGCGGGCTTCTATCGTAGATAGGGTCCATGCGGTACCCTTCTATCAGTACATGAGGCAGCACGAGGCTTGCCTTCTATCTTGATAACATAAATAGGTCTTCTAGACCTATGTCGTCATGTGTCGTCATATGCGGTCCAGACCGCTTATCTAAGCCGGCAGTTGCCGCTTATCGTCTATCATCATCTATCATCATCTATCGTCATAGAGCTGGTGAGACTCCGGTATTGTCTATAGCCGTGCGGTTGGCAGAGGGCTGTCTGCTGGCAGGGGACTCGTGCCATGTTACTGTAACAGTCTGAGCTACAGATGGCAGATATGGGTTAGCGCACTTGAATTCCGGTGCGTGCATCCATGTGTTTCATAACACACTCCCAGACAGAATATTTCATGCAGGCTGTACCGCTGCTAGCTTTTTTCGGTGTTTTATGTCTTATCTTACTAGTGGTCGTCCTATGTGCCTGATTGTGACCGGACCCTTACATCCTTGTTCCATTTGATCTTTTGATTGTTGGTTGCATGTGAATGAAATCGCCTGCGGTTCAATAGAATAACCATGAGATTGATAATAGTCCATGGGCCCCGCTTATTGGTACGAGGATGAAACCATGCAAACAAGTTTCATGTATTAATAAATTCATATTGTCCAGCAGGCCCATCACGGCTGATAAACACTGACCCAGAAGGTGCTTGCATGCGAGCAGCCATCCAAAATATGTCACGCACCTACTGCAGCTCAGACGATCACTCCTGGGTCCGAGACTCGGAGGAAGACATACAATTTAGTAAGACGAAGCTCCCCCTTCCTAAACTGGGGTTCCACGTTCAAAGGTGGGGTTCTATCAGAGGTCACTGCATCACGAATCAATTGACGTCTATAGCATCGTGTTCCGCTCAGAGAGGGAAGTGAAGGGTAGGAACTCGAGGCAGATTGAGTAACGAGTTATGAGCAAAGGAGTAAGTGAGGGATTGTATCATATCAAATCAGCTGACGCCATCTGGACGCAAGCTAGCAAAAATTAACACAGCTTTATCGGCTATTTGTAAGTTCTACGTACTCTGCAGGAAAGCAACATTTAGAACAAGCTGCGGTGAAAAAATCTGGCTGCGACAGGAAGGGAGGGCACAAAGGGGTAGGCATTTCAGCATGAAGAAGAATCCAATATCAAACACCAGGGTGTAACACTTCAGACGCGCATTTTCAGGGGGTGGGCGTTGGGTGGGGTATAGGCTGCCAAGGGTCTTGGCTAGGCCTCGAGGTGTTCATATACACTTATACTACCTAGTGCATGTAGTGTAGACTAATGTATTAGCACCTGACCCAAAATTACCTTTGGTAGGTATCAGTTCGTGATCGCTGTGGATATGCGGCCTCTAAATTGAGCTGGGGCCGGGATAACGGTCTTACGGAGATAATAATGGTCTGTGTGTGCAAGGTACAAGGGTTTCTAAACATAAGGATGATTATTATTGGTTGGGAAGAAACGGTGTTCATGAACTGGTTCAAAACGGGTGACAGATGGGCCCATATTCTCCTTTCTATTCAGACGTGCCACTGTTCTATTTCAAATTCATAAACTTAAGTGTCTCTGTTACAGATGACACCCACTTCCCCTGTTCAATGGACAAGCTCTCCAACCTCCGATTCTCGAAGGTCACACGGCGCTATATTGGGCAATTGTGAACGGTCCGGTCACAACATGACGCGACGGATCGTGACCGAATCGAAGGGAGCCAGGTGACAACAAAGAGCCAACAACGAAAAGGCAAAATGAAAACCGGGACACCCGACACCGCGAAAAGATTGAGATATCGGCTGACATAATCGTACCGCTGTCTTCTGGATACTACCGTTCCTGCACTTCACGGATCCCTCAAGATCCCTCATATCCTTTTCTTGTTTGTACATGGACTGGTTTGGATGCTTTGTGACGAGCCGAATCTCTGAACCTTGGGCTATTTCAACATCAAGTTATGCCGGACAACTGCATCAGTAAATTCACAAACTCCTTAGCGTCCTTTTTCGCCACTTGTCACGAAAATCTTCAACATGTTGCCGCTTATTATTCTTATGCACTTGTCATTTTTCTTTCACAAGCACTCACAAGTAAATGCGTGATTCACAAGTGCCCACAAGTGCAACAAGCGCCAAAAGCAAGGAAGACTAAAGTGTGTCGTAGATTACAAGTAGATAAAATTTTACTATGAATAACTACTCCTCGAACATTTGTGAATGGTCTCTGTACCAGACCTCGTATTCTCTGTCCATCCACGGAGGAGCATCATGTTCAGGGTGTTCCCCTGTGTATTGAATCGAGAGACATTGCCAAGTGACATTGCCAAGTTGTGTGGCGTCAATGACCTTGTGCAAATCCTTGTGATCCGCGAATGGAGGGTGGTCGTCGTGTTTCAACAGCTGCGCAGCCATTAAGTCGAGTAATAAGTCTGTAGCTTTGTTAGACATATGGCTTTGTTTGAAAACAAACTCTGCCATTGCAAATTCAATATCGTTATGATACGGGCTCCAGTCGTGAGGAGACTTCGGTGGGACAGGAGTTGGTGGTGTGCCAGGGGGCAGAAACACGCCGTCAGCTGTGCATGGTCGTCCTAAGAGCGTGTCAGAATCAGAACACGTGAAAAGCGCAGATTGAAAGGTACTTACCATTGAGGAGCGAGTGATACGTACGATAGTAACACTTGCTCGCATCAGTGAATTCTGAGTCTGGATCCTCATCGTCAGCCATTGGACCAGGTGGTGATCGGGGAGGCGAGAAATCAGGAGGGGGTGGCAAGAAATCAGGGGGGGGTGGCAGGAAATCAGGAGGAGGCGACTGAGGTGGAGATGGAAGCTGTTGCGGTTGGGGAAGATCCAGAGCAGGTGCAACGGGATGGGACGCGTGCATGTGTTGAGTGCGGCCAGAGATGTTTCGAAACCAGCGCATACAACCTGGAGATAGGCATGGAAACTGAAGGGCACGGTGAGTAGGCCGGTTTCTGCGCATCATATGAGTAGTGTTGATGCAACGTATGGACCTAGTGAAGGTTTAAAACCAGCCGCTAATATTGAAGAAAAAATTACCCTTGCAAAGGTGCCGTTGGAACGAAAATGTGCACTACCCCAGAAAGGGTTTGTTAAAATGGACAGTTATGTCATCGCACCACCGGAAAAGTTCTGGTGAACATTGATGACGGTCACCCCACCACAGGAAAGGTTCTGGGGAACATTCCCTAGGCTATTAGACATCATTATATCACTGGAAAGGTTCTGGTAAACATTGATACTCACCGTACTTAAGGTATTTCAATCCAGGACATGTCATTTTGTTGAGCACATTGTGCCGAAAAGCGCTGGCGAATATTGATGCTCCGGATGTTGCAATCGACCCTCAATTCAATACGTTAAGAAATATTATTCAGAGTCAGCTTTGGCTACAAATTTTAGAGTGACGAAACTCACCTTCAACTTGGTAACCCACTGCCTTCAATTTTCGTCAGCCTACAAAACCGTCTATCGATAGAATGTCTCAACCTGACGCAGTTACAACGCGCATGGGGACTCGACCTAAGAACGCAACTCAGCATCCCGGGCGCATTTTAATCAATAGTCGTGGAAAGAAGCGTACCACTGCTGAGAAGGCCGCTGACGACCAACGTGAAAGGGAGGCAAAGGAGGCAAGTGAAAAAGCTGTACAAGAAAGTTATCAGTGTATTGCTACTTTGCAGGCACAGATGCAGGCTGACCAAGATGCTATGCGTGTTGACGCACCTAAGCCTAAGCGTCCTCGTGCACGCCCGGTGGGGAAGGCTGCAAAGGACTTGAAGACCTCCGACTCGACTATGGATGATAGGCAGGCAGGAGCAAAAATCGTCGCCGATAAGCCTCTTGTCACCAGAGGCAGGGGTCGCGTGGGTGGAGCTAAAAGGTTAGCAGCTGATGCTAGCGTCGAAAATCCTGCAAGTGAGGATGAGGATGGGGAGCCGGTCCAAACCAAAAAGAAGAAGAAACTGGCAGTGAGAGAAGCAATTCAAGCAGTATTAAACGCTGGCATCGTTATCGACTCAACAAAGGCACGTGATGGAGAAGTTCAGAAGACGTCTGATGTGTGAGTTTGTTTATCTATCAGTAACTATGATGATGCTTCTTTTGGATTCCACACACGGTTGAAGCTGATGGGCCTGTCCTTGCCGTTGTACGTTTTGTTTTCAAACATGATTTAAATCTGTCATTTATTTTTCTAGACCCTCCAGCGGCTGTCAGAGTGGCGCAATACCTTTAGCAATGTGGCTCTCGCCATGCTCGCCAACTTCATGACCTCACAAGATGACCTCAAGACTGACGAGGACCGCAAAGATTTTGCATCGGCCTTACTCGACAAGTTCACCTTTTTATTTGGGGACATCGCGGAGGACGGAGAGGTCTCCAACCCGTTCCAGTCTGACCTTATTGTACAGGTTCTCGTGCAGCACAAGTGTGCCACGTCCGGCGCTGTCAACCTGCCGGGAACGAACGATACAGTGCCGGGGCACTCGAAGGGCGCTCTTAGTCTTGCCACGGCAGCAGCACGTGTTTTCTACCCTCTCATACAGCTGACTTAACTTACCCTGTATTTCAGATGGAACGCACCATCAGGCTTTTCGTCAATGGACACATGCTCCTAGGAGACATCGACACCTCTGGCAATGGTTGAGGCAACAAGACCCCGCTCGATGTCAATCCATCCACAGGCAACCAGAGCAGTGTCCCCTTGGCATTTTCAGAAGCCAATTGGGGTGCGCACACGAGGGCTTACATGGCGTCTATCACACGCTTGCCAGACTCGGTCCTTATCCGAAACTCTGAGCTTGCGCAGAGCCTCGCCACGAAGAGGCGTGGCGGCGCGCGGATGGATGTGGACGAAGAATCTGGGGATGAGCGAGCGTTCATTTTCTAGAGGTAATGTCCTTCACTCTTGTAGTTTATTTTGCAACTGACTAGGAGCTTCGACGCTGCTAGTACCTTCAAGCTATGTTCCCTGGTCTTTTTTACATGCTGTCTCGTTGCCGCCTCCATTTCCTTTGTCGCGCTCGTTATGTCTCGTTGCCGCCTCCATTTGTCGCGCTCGTTATGTCTCATTGCCGCCTCCATTTGTCGCGCTCGTTATGTCTCGTTGCCGCCTCCGTTTGCTTTGTCGCGCTCGTTATTAATCTACTTGCTAGTCCTTATTTTTCTCCTTGCTTAACCTTTTATCTACTTAATCCTCTTGTCCGGTTGAAATGCAATTCTTTTTCCTGGTAACAAGTGTGAACAAGTGTGAAAAAGTGTATATAGTGTGAACAAGCTAAAAATAAGTGCGACATAAGGGGATTGTAATGTAGCTCGTTCTAAAAATAAGTGCAAAAAGTGTAGGACAAATGAAAAAAAGTGCGAAAATGCTCAAATCAAGAGGAAGGGATCTTCTTGGCAGCTTGTTGCTCCTTGTGACAAGGAGGTGTTCTGGTTCTTGTCCGCTCTTGGGTGAGAAAAATAAGAGCTTAAAAGGAAATTAAGCAATTCGTGAATTTACTGATGCTGGCATCCAATGGCCAGGGCAGCGGCTTCTTTGTTATCGTCTTCTTGCTGTCGCAACTCTGCTTCGTTCTTTAGAAACTGAATTATCGAATCATTCGAGTCTATATAACGGTGAATGCATTCCTCTCACTCCACTGTCCACGACTATGATGAGAACGAACTCAGCTGGGCTGCTGGACGTCGACCCTGGTGTTGTCGGACTCGCGCCCGTTTAGTACGCCTATGGCATACGTCGGTAGTAGTTGGTACTAAATATACCGAGTACTATTACACATTTTCAAGTACTCCGGTTTATGATAAGTATACGGGGAAGTCATCATTCTCGGCAAATTTTTTGATATTTGTCTGATTAGTCTTCTTCCGACCTACGTCCTGCATGCAGGCGAACTAGCGACCATGCATTATTAATTTTATTCTCGGACCTGAAGTTGTAAGATACCAATGGTAAGTTCTTCTTAATACTCACCTGAGAGCGCTTGTATGTATGACAACTCATCAGCCAAGGTCGCGGTGGTTGATGGGGGAGAAACGGACGACTACCAGTTCGTTGCTTTCTTCATTATTGAGAAGTTCTAGAAACGCCTGCGCCTGACTACACGAGAATTAAATTACGAATTTGTTGCGCGTGGTGTGGGTTCATATCTCTCGGGTTGTTCCTTACGCTCATATGATTATGATATCTTCTGCAGGACGTATATGGCGACTCTCTTTAATGTGGGGCCTAAGGGGAAATGGGTTGCTAGTTGTGGTCTCTCTTGGCCCAATCTTCCGGCTTGTGCACGTTCTTCACTCTAGAAAACTCATACAAAGAAAGGGGAACCTGGCCGTGAAGCACTGCTAAAAAAGGTATACGAGGACAAGGGAACAGAATTCGTGGAAATACTCGCGCTGAAGGGGTAAGTTTATATCTGCCTTGACACATTCGAAGTTGAGGAACTGATGAATTTATGATTTGTCACTGCGACTATTATTTGTTTCCTTGTTGGTTATACAGAAATGGAAGAGCCAAGCGGGAATTGAGCGATCAGTGGGTAACGAGTAAGTCTTTTGCTTCCTCAAATTGATCTTAGAATGGTGATTGCTGCAAGCAACATATCTTGCCACTCTTCTCCTCTGACGATTTCAACTGACTGTGTTATTGTAGCAATCCCAAAGATGTAGCCTGCGACACCCTGGATTAAATGCTGGAGATCACGCGAAAATCCATGACAGGTTTGCCTTAGCGCACTTGAATTCCAGTACGTACATCTGCACGTTCATAACACGT